TGTAATTTATTTTCGAAAACTTATGATGAGATATAGATATAGATAAGGTGTTAAACATCGAGTTTTTGCAAACAGTAAAATTTTATTGCGGATTCCGATAGAATACCTATCCAGAAGTAATATTTTTGGAACAAATGTTGTTAAAGAAGCGATATTCTGTCGAAATCCGCAATAAAATCCGCGTTTTGCTAACTTTAGTACTGCAATATTGCCACGCCCTTTTCAAGGGGTTTGTCGCCTTACAGAAAAATCTGAGCCTTTTCAGTACTTGTACATATTTGCAATACTTTTCCCAATTAAAAAAAAAGGATGAACAAGTAATGCTTAGTTCGCTGTCTGTACAATAACTGGTTTCATTAATGCCAAAGCTGCTCTTGCAGACTGAAAGTTTTATCAACAATATGTATATGTATTTACAGTATGACCGAAATGACATTGCACATGCAAAGCGCAGAGAACAGAAAATGAAAAAGGTGATAGCAACTAGATACATTATGCTTATATACAAGTATGAACATACAATTGCAAAGTAAATACATAAGTCGTACTACAGTGAGGAGAAAAAATACTGGAGTAAATAAATTTCGTAATACAATGTTGTTGTCAAAGGTTTAGCTGTTCTCTAAACAATAAGTTTTCCAAAATAAATTACAAAAAATTAATGTTTCTTACAAAATAAACCATCTCGTCATAAAGAAAAATACTTTAAAAATAGTTCTTGAAAAACCCCCATTTTTTTGAACCACGTTTTTTATAGAGAATTAAACAAGGGCTATGATGGTATAATTTTCAATCTCTAATTTACTGGTCTTCACTATGCAAATCAACTTAAAAAAGTGCAGCTGTTAATAGCTAAGTTAGCTTTAGGAAAATCTTGACCATCTTATATATATAAATGTTAAGCCCGTTTTTATAGCTTTAAAACGACGTGCAGAACCCGAGATAGATTTGAAGAAGTACATGATTAGTCAGAATCACGAAAAAATGCAAATTTTGACAGATCATATCTCCGAAGAAAAAAGATTTAAAAAAATTTCCTCGAACACGTGTTAGCTTATTTTATGTATAGAACCCATAAAAAAAATGTGTGACACCAAATTTGGTGTCCGATATGAAAAAGAATGTCTCATATAGCCTACTATTAGCAACTACCATAGATATATATGTACACCAAATTTCAAGTTCATGTGACTAATGGTTCCGAAGTTATAGCTGATAAAAAATTTTCACGCTCATGGAAGGTGCCGCGCCCCGTTTTACAAACTAATTACAAACTATACCCTACTATAAGCACTAGGGATGCCAAAATATCACGAAAATTGGGATTCCGGGATTTCGGGATATTTTTTAGGTAATCCCGGGATCCCGGAATTCAAATTGAGTCATAAATTTTATGAATATGAGTAAAAATTCAATATCTGAAAGCATTTAAACATACCATTAAATAAAACTATTTAAAATTTACGATAAACTGATTGTAAAACTCATATATCGCTAGCTTAGAGTTAAAGGTTGCTAACTTCACTTTTAATGAAAAATCATATTTTTATATAAGAGGCTAGATAAATTAATATTGCATCGTTTCGAAAAGGGTAAAGGTCCTTGTCCCCCCTAAATTTCATTCTGGCTACGCCGATGGATCGAATCCCTTTGATTCGTATGGAGTTTTGCTTTGCTTTAAACAGGCAAAATGTTGTATTCAAAGTTTTGCGAAATACTTGAAGAAAATGGCTATACGAAGTTTTTTCCTCTCCTGTACAATTTTTAAATTGGGACTTAGCAACTTTGCACTCTACGCCAGCGATATTTATTTATTCAATCAGACAAATTTTAAAGTAAAACATTTTTTTAATTATATTTAAAAAACCATGTGATTGGGGAACGTATACATCACAAATAATAATTTAAATACCAGGTACTTTTGAAAGTAACGATAAATAAAAAAACATAAAACAAAAATATACAAAAACAATTTCTCTAAACATGTTTATTCTACTCTATAAAGAAATGGCGAATGGAGAATTTGTTGCCATTTTTTTTCGCAATTTACTAGAAATTTTGGGGGTGTACGAGTCAAACGGATCTCAGAATCGGATTCAGCGGGTCGAAATACATGTTGGTAGGTGGGTCTGGTTAAAAACACACACCCCTTATTTCCGGTGTTGTTATTATTGCACTTAAAATGTTTTCATAAGAGCAGTAAAGCATTCAAAGCGGAGTCTTCTAAGCTTGCCCTGCAGTTTTTACATACAAAACCTACTGATGAAAAACATATTTCGGCATCAACGCTTTTAGGCTGAACTGCCACCCCTATCTCCTCCATTACAAAATATTTTAACTTCTTTTACCAGCACGTCGGTCAAATTATAAGTTTTTCGATTTGAGGAAGTTTTGAGTAGATTGAACTAAGAAATTATCTAACTTTTCCTTAAAACTCTCTGTTTCGTTTACATTAGCGACGCTATGAGTAAATTCATTGAACTTTTCTTCCAAAAAGGCTCAGACTGCATTTTAAAAGTACAGTTTCAAGCTTTTTGTTAATTGCAGTCAAAACGGCATTTTACAAAAATCATACTTCAAAATTTATAAATAAATTCGTACTATCAATTCGGTATTTCAAGATTTTCGGGATCCGGAATTTCCGGGACGTCAAAAGCACCGGGATCCCGGGATAGGCATCCCTAATAAGCACCCACCATAGATACGTCTGCGCACCAAATTTCAATTTCGCCTGACATATGGTTCCGATAGTTATAGCTGATACAATTTTCCACGCCTAGGGATGTGCCACGCCCCCTTTTACAAATTTACATATAAGCACCTACCGTAGATGCGTCTGCATACAAAATTTCAATTTCATGTGACTTATGGTTCCGAAGTTATAGCTGATACAATTATTCACTCCTATTGGATGTGCCACGCCCCCTTTTACAAAATCATTTATATATACCCTCCTATAGGCACCTGCCCTTGATATGTCTGCATACTAAATTTCAAGTTCGTGGGACTTATAGTTCCGAAGTTATAGCTGATAAAAAATTTCACGCCTTCCAGGACAAAAGATCTGCACCGTTGGCTCGATTTTCAAAAATGTCAAATTAAAGCGCTTGGCCTGTACATGTGCAAACTGTTGTTTTTTTTTTTAAGAGTAGCCACATATTGAACAATTAATTCCAAAAAATTTAATAATCAATGCCCTCATATCCGTTCGTTCGATTTTCCAAAATCATGTATCAAATTAAAAAGCTTAGACTGCAGATCAGGGTGTCCAGATTGTTTAAAAAAAACGCAATTTCTGAAAACTAAAATCCAAAAAGCGCCAATTTTTTTAACAAAATTCATGAAATCGATTTATTAAATCGTTTATTTTAAAAATGAGATCTTGTTATAATATAGTTTTTAAAACCAACGAATATAATACTTTCAGATGGTAATAATCAGGGAAAAGATTTTTAGGACCTAAAAACCTATAAAAAAGGGCAAAATAAAATAAGGAAATAGGCTGGAAAAGGCAAAATAAATTAGTGAAAAAGGCAAGAAAAGGCACTAGGTGTTGCAAAAAAGGCAAAAAAAGGCGAAACAAAATATCGAAAAAGGCAGGAAAAGGCACTAGGTATTGCAAAAAAAGCAAAAAGAAAGGTTTATATTACAAGTAAAAAGAGAAAAACTATGAACTAGTTTCATTATATGAAACATTTTTACTTAGAATCTTTGACTATTTTATCCTTTCTAGTTTCTAACTCATAAAACTTTAATCTGTATAGTTGTAGTAACATTGAACCACAAGATGCATTTTGAAGTTTTCTGGCAGCATTTTCATTCGATTTTCGCGAAGAAAAGCCTTGAATGTACTAAATGTGTGCTCGACGTAAGTTGATACAAGCGGCGCCCAATTTAAATATGGAACGTTTGAAACGTTCATATTATCAGGAATAAGGGCGTTTTCCTTGCCCTTTACAATTTTATCCACACCCCTTATTGTCTCCAAGCCTTCGTTAGCTGAGATAACGGCTTTGAATTTTACCAACACCAATTTGCCAAGAGGTCTCTGCGCTTCTATAAGCCGCATGGGCAATGTGTATATTTTTTTATTCTTAAAAAAAAATTGTAAATGCTATAATCACTTTTTTAAAGGTAGAAAAGGCAGATATCTTAAAAAAGGCAAAAAAAAGGCAACATCAAATGTGTATATATGGAATCAGGGAAAGCTAAGTCGTGGACATCCTTAATCGAATATAGTCTATCTCTTTAGCAGAAAAAAAGGCAATTTCCATAAAATTCGTTCCCTGGTAATAATAAATAACACAAATCAGTTATATAATAGTGGCGTACAAACAATTTTCTCTAAAAATACGCATACTTTTTAAAAATATGTGTTT